CCCCAACACAGTAGATCTGGGAAAAACCCTGATAGCAGACATACCTAAAAACCCAGTGACCCTTTTAACAGTGCTCTTTATTTTTGCCGCCTACTTTCTTTTGTCCCTCTGGGCCATGAGAAAAGACAGGGCTGACAGGGACAGCAAAGACAAGATTATAGCTCTGCCAGACAACGACCCCTTTGATAAAGTGAGCTTTTTGGTCACTTTATATACAGGCAGTCGCTGGGGAGCTGGAACCAAAGCAGATGTCTTTCTTCAGCTCATCGGCCAGAATGGCACGAGTGACGTCCATTGTTTACGGCACCCACATTTTCTACCTTTCCAACAAGGAAGCACTGATTGCTTTCTGTTAACCACCAAGAAAGACTTGGGAGACATTTGTTCCTTCAGGGTCTGGCACAATAACAAGGGCCCATCTCCAAGCTGGTTCTTAAGCAGAGCTAAAGTTGAGAATACGTCCACCAGGAAGACCTGGTTCTTTATGTGCAGGAAATGGCTTTCTCTTGACAAGGGCGATCACTTACTAGAAAGGACATTTTCCGCCACAAACCCCAAGACACCTCTGCCCAGAATCGACTATTTTTTGATTAATCTTGCCAACAGCCTGACAGAGGGCCATCTGTGGCTCTCGATTTTTGCTCACGTTCTCACTGGCACTTTCAGCAGGCTCCAAAGGTTGTCTTCGTGTTTAGCAATATTATTATTAAACTTGCTTGTTAATATTATGTTCTTTAATGCTGACAAGAATGAAGAATCTCCAATACACTTGAGGTATTTGAGATCAATAACAGTAGGAATTGAATGTGCTTTGGTTACCATACCTGTGGAAATGATTATAATTGCCTTATTTAAGTATTCCCAGAAGGAACCTTCTCCTCGTGGTGTGGCTCAGACGGACCGAAAGGTAAGGTCACCCCTCCTGTCTGGAAATCTTAAGAACTGGAAGGAATGTTTGCAACAATTGTACCTTTCAGAAACTTCAGCACAATCAAGGAATATTAGTCCCTTGGAGAACCTTCCTGGTCCCAGCAACTCACAGAGCCCACCATTTTCCAGAAAGACAAGAAGCAAGGGAGCTCCCCAAAACTGGAATAATTACACAGTTTCTGAAAGAGATGCAAATGTAATTGGAACAGAGGAGCAGACAATAACCGCGAATTCCCCTCCAATGGCTAAGGTCTGCCAGAGAAGGCCACCATCAACTTCCAATTTTAGTAATAATTACGCAGAAGAAGGGGGCAACTTTCAGAAGGAAAGGAAACCACTAAGCATTACCTCCATGCCCTTTCGCAAGAGACCGCACATAGTTTTTTGTTGGTGGTGTGTCTATCTCTCATGGGCACTAGTTATAGCTGTCACTGGGCTATCATCATTTTTCATTGTGTTATATGGTTTGTCTTATGGCTATCAGACTTCACTAGAGTGGCTTTTAGCATCTGCAATCTCCTTTATCGAGAATGTGTTTCTCCTCTCAATTCTAAAAATCAGTTTTTTCTCAGCTATGAGTACAATTCGTCCAAAATACTGTGAAAACATCACATGGTTAACTCAGGAAAAGTATTCTGAGATAAAGTTGGCTAAAGAAACGATGAGTGCTGATGAGATGAGAGAGATGCACTTGAAACTTGCTAAAGTCAGAGGCACCAAGCAGTATAAGCCTTTAGAAGCTGATGAAATTGCAAACATGCTGAAAAGGGCAAAAATTAAAGTCAAGGCATTTATTTTCACAAAAGGTTTCATCAGTCACCTTGTCTTTTTAACACTGCTATTAAATTTTGCCTATTCCACTGAGAACACCAACAGTTTCCACTACAACCGATTCATCCATAACCAATTCTCTCCACGACTCTCCAGTGTAGATAAGCTAGAACATATCTACGTGTGGGTGAAAGACTTGTTCTTGCCTTTGATCCACAATGACATTCAGCCAACCTTTCTTCCCGACAGCTGGTCCAAAATCATTGGTTTGCCCAGGATGAGGCAAGTGCGGGCTAAAGGTACTGAGAAAAAATGTTTCCATCCTCACAGCTTTGTAAATAACTTTCTGATCAGTGAAAGCCACTGTCTTCACAAATATGGCAGTGACATCCCAGAGAAAGGTGACTACGCTGGCACTTGGACAAAAGTTGCCAACCAGTCTGTTTCCAAGGTTGCCAGCAGTTACGGTGGGTTCACGTACCAGCGAAACAGGACTCCGTGGATGTATTATTCATACGGAGATTTGCACACGTATGGACCAGCAGGATACACGTTTTACTTTTTCCCTGAAGAAGGAAGACCTAATTCAACGAAAAGGCTGGATGCTCTACAACAGAGCAACTGGCTTGATGAAAAGACATGGGCTGTGATCATTGAACTAACTACATTTAACTCAGATGCAGATCTCTTTTGCACCATCTCAGTCATATTTGAAATGTCCCATTTTGGGATCATAAAACCAAGTTTGTCAGTACACTCTTTTGCACTCCCCATTTTTCATCAGCAAACTAAAGCTCAGATGTTTGTGTTTGTAATTGTTCTTGCCTTTCTGTTCATTTACATAGCAGATGAGCTTCACATCATAGGCCAAGAAAAAAAAGATTATATTAAAAACATTTCCAATATAATCAACTTTGGCTTAAAATCAGTATTCCTCCTTTTTGTTTTTTTAAAGGTCATAAAGTTTAAGGTGGGAGCAGATATAGTGAAGTTTTACTTACTTCACCCAAATGATTTCATTCATTTTCATGCAGTTTCTCATTTAGATCAGATTTTAAGGATTACTATGGGCTTTTTAGCATTTCTTGTAGTTTTGAAAACTCTAAAATATTCTCAATTTTTTTATGACGTGCGCCTGGCACAAAGATCGATCTTGGCAGCCCTTCCCGGAATCTCCTCAATGGCCCTCGTGGTGGTGGTGTACTTCTTTGTATTTATGGCTTTTGGCTACCTTGTGTTTGGGCAGCATGAGTGGAATTACAGTAGCATGATTCACTCAGCTCAGACCGTATTCTCTTACTGTGTCTCAGCTTTCAGAGATACCGCATTTTCATCCAACAGGTTGCTGGGTGGTCTTTTCCTAGCCTCTTTCATGTTGGTGATGATCTGTGTCTTGATCAATCTCTTCCAAGCTGTTATTATGTCTGCCTATAGAGATATGAAACAACCCGTATATGAAGAACCATCTGATGAAGCACAAGTGGCTACTTTTGTCTTGCAAAGGCTCAGAAGGATATTTTATTTTCTGATCTGTAAAACATCCAAAACCAGTGAGCCTGATCTTTTTCACAGTGTACTCTACGGGCAGCCTGAGAGAAGACATCAGCGACATTTAGGGCTCAAGAACAGAAAAATAAATGGAAAAAAAATGGTTTATCTTGTCATATGACCAAGGAAAGATTTTGTATTCAAGACCTTTACTCTGTAACACTTGCATTTCAAATAAATGCTCATAAATAAATTATTTACTTTTAAGAATTTTTTAACATTCAACCCCTTAGTAGCAATTGTGCTCAGATTTTCTCCAGACTATTTTGCATCAATTTTAGTGGTGCTTGGCTGTCATGGTGTGGTGGGTTGACCTGGCTGGCAGGTAAGCCCCCACCCAGCTGCTCACCCACTCCCCTCCCAGCAGCGTGGGGAGAGAATCGAAGGGCAAAAGTGGGAAAAAGAGTTGTGGGTCGAGATAAGGACAGTTTAAGAAGTGAAGGGGGAAAAAACCCAAAACCACAAGTGATGCAAAAGCAGTCACTCATCACCTGCGGACAGATGCCCACCCAGTTTCTGGGTAAAAGTTACTTTCAAAAAACTTCCCTCGCTCCAGTTTTCCTGCTAAGCATGACCTTGTACCTCGTGGCATTACCAACTCCATGCCAGCCGTAGCCGGCACACACAGGAACTGACGCCCATTTCACGGAGGGGATGCATATGGAGTTAGCTCAGGAGTCTGAGCAGGACTCTCGCCTCTGGCTGAGCACTTGCTAATGTAAGAGCAAAAATGGCCAGAGATCTGAAAACGCTGGTACGTCCTTCCTACTCAGAGCATAAGGAATAAAAAGACAGGACGAGTTAGCAGGTTGCCACCCGGCAATTAAAAATAAACCTTCACAACACTGCATTGCATTTGTATGCAGAAGACTTTGCTACAGTGTCCCTTTGGAAGACATTGACCGTGGACTTTAAAAGCCGGGGGGGGGTGTGGGGGTGTTAGTAGACTTGTGTGTTGTAAAACTGTACCTGCACACTGGTCACTCTGGGACCTCCTGTAAGGGAAGACTGTCCAAGTCAACTGGGAAGACTGGTCAACTTGATCAAAACCCCGATTTCTTATTCGTAAAGCTGGGGGCATCCTCCAGGCAGTTCACTTTGGATACAAACAGACCACAGAATATCTTCCCACCCCCACCCCCCCAAATCTCACATGCTCTTTGCAATGCAATGAGTTTATGGGGAGCGTTACGGCTGATGGGAATGTGTCGCCCATCGTCCCTCTGTCACTTGCTCCTCGCTGCACTGGGCGCGGCCGGGCACGACCGGCCGTTTCCAAAGCCGAAACGCCTTCCCCCCTTGAACTCCGGGGACTTTCGGCACCGTCCCGTCCCG